AAAAATTAAATAACTATAAAATAAACCTATTAGACTAATATATTCAAAGCATATAACATAGCAAATGTATAAGCATGCATATTTTTTTATATTAAATTACAAAATTATATATATTAATAAACAAAAAATTTTCAAATTATATTTCTAATATAATCTTCATAATTTTATATAAATATAAGATGTGATGACCTAGTAAAGTGATCAGATTATCAGCCTCTTAAATAATAAATTGAATATCCAAATTTTAACAATAGTAAAAATTTAAATAATTGCTTATATAATATTTGTATTACAGTAACTGTTACCAATACTTAAATTAGAATACCTATAATGATTATTATACTAGCATAATTAACAAATTATGAAACATTTATGTATTATATAGAAAAATGCAAACTAATAATTAGATAATACAAATACTAAATAAGTTTTTGTAATCATATAAATCTATTGAATTAGGTAACAAGAAGTCCATTTGAGAAGTTTCAAATAAAGAGATAACCAGATCTTTAATGAACCTATTGTAAAAACTAACTTAAAAAAACAGATACCAAAGTTATAATACCCAATTATACTATTCAGATAGACAAGAATTTTCAGATTGAAGTTTCAAAGATACTACTAATCAGACTGCTAAAATAAACTAGAGAAAAAAAATATTAAACTAACTTAATATATTAATAGACTGATCATAGTTCTATATAGATTATCTAGATTAAAAGTTTGATAAAAAAACAAATAAAAAAGCAGAAATATACTAAAATACTAAGATTATATTGTAAAATAAATACTAAAGTCTGTATGAACTTTACAAAAACATAACAGTTAAATGATATAAATAACTCTAACTATAAGTGTTAGTTTTGCCATAGCAATACCAAATCAACTATAAAAATAAGTATAGAAGACTCTAAAAGGTTTATCTTAAGGATAAAAAAATCTTAAAGATAAAAAAATCTTAAGATTGAGACAATGATCTGAACATCTGAGTGTGATTTAGTAATGTTACAATATCAGATGATTTAAAATAAAACACTCAAACAAAAATATTAGATATAACAAATAGTAAAAAACCTTCAGGCAGACACCTTAAATAGATATAAAAAAATTACATGTGTAACCAATTGTATACTCTCCTATAGTGGTTCACTGAATCACATTACCAAAAAAGTTGTTAATAAAAAATCAAAAGACCAAAAAGATCACCTTAACACCAAAAAAAATAAAAATTCTATGCAGATACATCAAAAAAGTAATTTTATGTGATCAAAAACGTAATTTTTGTATCACTTGACATAAACACTTAGGGTCCTCCACGCTCCGGCCAATAAAAACTTGAAACCTAAAAAACTTAAATTAAAAAATTATAAATACTATAAAATTTTGTAGCCTAGACTCAAAAGCAATGTCTAAACCTAAAAAATTTAAAATATAAAAAACTTGAAACCTAGCCTAAGAACTAGTTTTTAAATACAGCTCAATTGTTTTATTATAGCCAGATTTTTTATATATAATATAACCTAGTGATGTCATATACCTGCATCAATATGAGTATCAAACAACTTTATCATTTTGAAGATAAATTGGTAAAACATATACTCGCTTTATATTAATAAAAAGATTATTTATATAATAATTATTTGGTAATTTAGGAATTAAAAACGAAAATTTTTATATCATTCGAATCATCTTGCTAAGAAAATTGAATGGCATAAAAATAATTAGAATCTATTTGATAGACCCCGTGTTAGCTTCAATACTACCCACCCAGCCATATTACCCCTTTTATTAAATAAATAAATCAATGTTAGAGTATTAAGATCAAAATATATTCCAAAAGTTTGATATGAATTAAGTAACATATTAATATATTGTTATTTTATGTCTTACAAAATATTGAAACCAGGTTTAAAATTTGGTTCTAAACCAAATCAAGTTTAACTTATGTTTGTAACTTATCGTATAAAAACCTGGTTATTAGATTTTCAATTTGGAGTCTAAAGGTTTTAGAACCTAAACCTAACTTTACCATCCCTAATCAAAACATCGTTTTCAAGGTTATCGGGCAAATAGACTCAATTTCTACCCCGTTCATTCTGGAATCAGCGGTGTGCCTAAATCTTCGTTCGGCTCCAATAGACTATGTGCACACAATAAATTTTAATATCTGTCACTAACTGCCGAATCAAATAGCTTCTTAGAGATGTCCAGAACATCACTTCCTTACCTATATTGCTTGAGAAGTACACATTCACCACCATTTTCCAAATCAATATTATATTGGTAGAAATAGCCTTCCGAGGTAACAACCATGACTTGAGGTGTGGTACTAAGTAATAAATTTTGTCAATAACAAAATGTAATGAAACTTCCTGCTTTCCATGAACACGACTACCGTATTTAAACATCTTCTCCAGTGCTAAGCCCTATAAGAATTTCAATAACTTTCATCAAAGATAATGAAATGTATATATGTATAGATACCTACTTGCTTAATGCAACTACGCTTTGAACTCCAGAACTAGGTAATTTCAAGTAAGCGAAATCGCGAGTTGGTTCCCACATTTCTGTAAGAGCATCTGGAAGATAATTACCGACACTACCAGCTACAGTGCGCCCAAGATGAAGAGACTGACGTCGTATGGCACTTATTGTCAAAATGTAGACATGGATCCAAAGCAAGTTAAATCATTAATACCGTATTTCGAATTTAAATGAAAAATAAATAAAATAGAATTTGTTATATTCGCGTTAAATTAACGCAATGTTACTCGTCTATGTTCATTGCTATAACAACTTACCCGACAGACCCAGTCTTTTTCTTTCCGTCAATGAAAGCCTCGAATCCCCCTATTGTCGTAGGCCCAATAGAATGACGAGCAAGAGAATTCGCAACACCACCTGCACCATTAGTGGCGCCATTATTCGCATTTGTGTTACTATTCGGTCCACCTGTGTTTCCAACTAATTTGAAGACGTGCACAGTTTCAGTGTCACTCGAAACACATAATAACGAGCTAACGAGGTTGAATGAGATAGAGTGGATGCGAGCTGGATAAGATCCCCGTCGAAACTGATGCAATTTTTGAGCATTTGGAATTGAAAAAACACGAATTACAGTTCCCTAAATGTAAAATAGTAATATTCAGTGTACAGTAATTCATATTAACAAAGCAAGTGCAAGACATACCTTATCACTAGCAGTTGCCAACAACGTTCCTTCAGAATTAATGGCTACGTAAGCTACTGGGCTTTTATGCGCTTGGACAACATTAACAACTTGCAATGATAATGCATCGAAGATCAAGACGTCACCAGATGGCGCCGTATGTTGTGTACTATGATTGGAAAAAGGTGATGATGGTGATGGAACCGGAGAAGGATAGGCTATATAGCAATTTTCGTTTGAAGGAGAAAGGGCACAGATTGCTACGAATTGATACAGAATATGTAAATTAAATTTATTAAAAGCTTAGAGATAACAACTGGAGAACCTGACAAATAATCACCATTTGGGTTGGGACTAGTATCAATAGTATGCAACAATTTCATATTACTGATATCGTAAATAAAAATTGTTTGCTCTAAAACAACAATTAATCGACGACGGTTAAGTTTAACAGCTAAGATTGAAGTTTGGAAGGTAAGTTCACATATTGTTGTTTGTCGCTTTTTTTTTTTTTTTTTTTTTAAAAAAAAAAAGATAGTTATCAGTTAGGTAATTTATTTTACTAGTCAAATGAATCAATTGTCTAAATTAAATGTGAATATATACCTTGGTGTTAGTGATCTGCAATCGTCGTGGTGAAAATTGTGGATGGTCGCCTGCACCAACGAGAGCTACTAAGGACGTACAAAAAAGCATCTCAACGATACCAGTACCACCACCAGCTTTTGTTTAAACATGAGGAAATAAAACATCAACGCGCGTTAAATTAAAATTAAGCTAATTTCACGATCTTTAAAATTATCACATAAATTTATGGCACTATGTGAAAATTCACGATTAGTTCAACTGAAGTGTCAATATCACTAACGACTAATGTTTGTCTTGGTTTGTAGAATATATATACCAGTGACAACTTCATTCATGCGATAAAAGAACCACTAATAAATCATGAAAGTGTATTATTTTAATGCTAGCAGAGAGAACTTACCTTTTGAGTAACACTTTCCGAATGGGTCGCAATTATATATCTTGTAGCCATGTTGTGTACCAACGGAGATGCAGCTTTAGATTTAAAAGATGTAATTGTTTTTAGCATATAAAGTTCTTATGCACGTTCATATTTAAGTTAAATGTTAGGATTCAAGCAAAATTGTACAGCCAACTTTTTAAACGTTTACTGATGATAAATGCAACACACTGAGAAAATTGAGACGAAAACGCGTGTCCAACCTAGCTAATTTAAAAGTTACCTGAAATCTTGATTGAAATTAATAAACAATAGTTCGTTATTTCCCCGACCGCTAAGATTCATGACTAATATTTGAGTTAATTAACAGCGAAAGCTCCAGTTTAGGTCAATTTTTAAAAACTGGATGGACCACAAGGCGTTCCCGTGACACCTTTATATAGTTCTATTTTCTGCAAAACTTCGGTACACATTGAAAAAAAAACCACCGTTTTACACGATTAGTGTCACAACAAAAAGTTTGCAATATATAAATATCCAGATGCTATATAAATAACAACTTTCGTTTTGCTTAACAACCGTGCGTTATTTGTTTCTTAAAAAAAAAAACGTCTGCAAAAACTTTTGTTAAATTCTTATCACATTGTAATTGCAAGTTTCAGGGTAAGAAATTTGCTTTCACATTTGTGTCTGTCAAAGATTTCTAAGTGAAGTACACGCTTCTTCAAAACTGCGACTTATCCATAAATATTGTTGCTGAATATGTCTATTGCAAACTAGTTATAAACTGCCAAAGTAATTTTACAAAACTTCTCTAATTATTGTAAATAGCACGTACCTCAGTAATTTCGATCGTATAATACGATGGACCATTCTGACCACTCACCCGAAAGTCGAGATTATCCTGATGAGTCACCGGAGGAGGCGCTTATGGCGTCTTTTCGAGTTGCAGCCGAGTCTGTTGCTCAACTTTTCAAAACCTCTTTGAACCAAACGAAGCGTTATGATAACGGTTATGAACAATGTCTACTAGATTTGATGGAATATGTTTCAACGCATCCCAACGTTCAACAAAAACGTCAGACAAGTGGCGGTGACGGTCGAGATGCATTCATATGTGTTGATGATTTGTTAAAGTTTATTCATTCTAAAACTGAACATCTAAAGTCTATGAGTCGACGAGCCCGCGACGATGCCATGAATGTTCGCCACCAGTCCCATCAACAAACACAACATTTTGTACAAGCGCCACAACAGATATCCCCTTTTCAAGCCGCTGATACACATACACACTCTAATCCCGGTGACTCTCCGGTGTCGGATAATATCTTTGGAACCGATCATGACCAGTTTAACTTTTCTCTTCAATCAAATCTTATGTACCACCCTATTCAACACGAGATTGACTGCATTGATACAGGACAAGAAGGTGGTATTGGGATTTTGTCTAATGATTCTTTAAAGAGACGATTCGGTGGTCCAACAGAAGTGAACTGTTTTGGTCGTTCAATGCCTCAGGAATATTCGTTCTTCGAGCCACTAACTAAAAAAGGAAGGCTCCGCAAGGATGAGTGACTTTATTTTCCTTTATCACTCTTGTTTTATGTGACCCCTGTGTTTTTACAATGGTGTTGATGTCTTCAATGTCGTTTAGCGCCGTTTCATCGTATGTATGAAAAATGATTTAACTTTTTTTTTTTTTTTACACCACTTGCTCATTAATATTTCTCATTTATCAGATCTCCTTTGTTCAAATATGGTTGATTGTTGGGTTTGAACACGGTTTCATTCTTGCATTTTCTCAATATACATAATGTCAATAAGAAACAAATAAATCAATGTAAAAAAAGACAATTAAACCTTACATATAAACCAACGACGTGTTACAGTGATTATATTAGAAAGAGTAAGTTGTTCAATAAATTGGCTCGAGAAATTTTTCAGCGTTTTATATCACGAGATAAATTAATTATCGTGAATAATCATTAGGTGTAATAATCTTGTAATGATTATTTTCTCGTTTTGAGGTATTATATATATTTCATGAATACGTTACAATATTGGTTTATATATTAATTTATCCATTCATTTGTTTTGTATATTTGAATTTATTGAAGTTTAATATTAAACAATTCTTTTTTTATAGTCTATTTAAAAAATGTAAATTGATTTGTAATAAAAAATATTATGTCAATTCAATGATTTTAATATTGCTAAATAATAATTCTAGAATACAAGTTATTAGATACTGAGTGCTTTATAGATGTTAGGAGTGTATGTGATCCGTTGATTGCAATTCGTATTATCCGTTTAGAAATCCGTACTTTTTTTTGTTCATATATACTATTTGCCACTGTTTACAATACCCAGGGCCTTATTCAAAACTTTACTTTTAAAATTGGAAATCTGATGTTTTTATGTTTTATGTTTTCATAAAATATACCTTTAGATTTGAGAATATCTGTTATTTTAAACATATTCTTTATAAAAAAAATTTGAGAACATGTGTTTGATAAATTTGTTTTTTATATAAATGTAAATGTATAATATTGGGTTGTGTTAACAATTAGAATTGAAAAAAATGAATGAGCATAAAAGATGAGTAAGTTTGAAACAAAAATTTAAATAAATTATTAATATTTTTTAAAAATAGGTATAGAAGTAAATTAAAATTTTATTATTGTTTTTTTTTTTAACTTAGACAGTTTTGTTGATTATTATTATTATTATTATTTTGGTGTTAAGATGACCTCTTTGGTTTTTTGACTTTTATTAACAACTATTTTGGTAATGTGATTCTATGAACCACTACAGAAGATTTGTTAATTATTTTTATTAAGATTCTTTTATATATATTTATACAAAATTGACTTAAATTTTGACTTAATATCTTTTGACTACTTTTTTAAATGTATTTACTGCACTGGTTAGAATATTACTTTGGCTTAGAGTGCTTATATTCAGTTCAAGTTCAGTTTGGTTCAGGTCAAATCTGAACTTGAACTGAACTTGAACAGTAAATTTTATAATTTCAAGCCTAAACCTAAACTCAAATTTACAATTCTTAAACTTAAACCAAACATAAGCATGATAATAAATTTGATTCAAGTTCAGTTTGAAGTTTATAAACAAGTTTAGATTTAAATATAAAATATTTTAAAAAAGGTTTGTAGTCTAAAGTTTAGCAAACTTAATTTCTAAAAATTTTTTAAAAATTAAATTCAATTAACTATAATTTATACTTTTTTTTTTTTTTTTTTTTTTTTAACTTAAGCAGTCATGCTAGTACTTTATTAGAATTCTTAATACTATACAGATTACAGAGAATTTT